TTATTGTCCAGACTAGCTCAGTGACTATGTTGGGAATACTGTACCGTCCCAACTTGTTGACGAAGAGGCATCAATTTCTCCTTGACCAATTCAGCCATTCCTATAAGGAAAATGAGCAATCTCTCTGCACTGAGCAGGAATTCTGATGTGCTCAAAGGTGACCCAAGGGGTTCCTAGGTCTTCCTACCCACAAATTACGCTTCTTCACTTTGCATGTATCAAGACCAAACACAAGATACCTGCACTCTGCTAAATGGCCTCGGTCCAGTATACCTGAAGGAGCGTCTCCACCTCCATCGTTCTGCCCGGACACTGAGGTCCAGCGCCGAGGGCCTTCTGGCGGTTCCCTCACTGCAAGAAGCCAAGTTACAGGGAACCAGGCAGAGGGCCTTCTCGGTAGTGGCACCCGCCCTGTGGAACGCCTTCCCACCAGATGTCAAAGAGAAAAATAACTACCAAACTTTTAGAAGACATCTAAAGGCAGCCCTGTTCAGAAAAGCTTTTAATGTTTAATAGGTTATTGTATTTTAGTGTTTTGTTGGAAGCCGCCCAGAGTGGCTGGGGAAACCCAGCCAAGATGGGCGGGGTATAAATAATAAATTATTATTATTATTATTATTATTATTATTATTATTATTATTATTATTATCTCCCCCACCTGTTTTAATGTCAAAATCTGCTCCAGTTAATTCCTAACAGAGGGGTTATTTTGCTTTTAAGTTTGCACTTTTAATGCTGGTATGACCCTGGTGTTTTGTTTTGTTTTAAAAAGAAGCTTTTCTGGGGTGCTCTTCTGGTTTTTTAAATAAAGAAGTTGTAACTGTCAACGGGTTGCTTTTTCAAACTACTGTAAGCTGCTCAGAGAATCCATGGGCTGAAAACCAGCATATAGCTATTTCAATAAAATAACAGTATGGTTCAAATAGTTTTCTCCCCAAAAGTATGGGATTGTTGTTCTGTTTGTTACTTTGTTATGTATTTTATACTCCAAACCACCCTCTGATCCTCAGATGAAGTGTGGCATAAATGTTTAATAACAATAAAATAATAAGTATTTGTTGCTCTTTGAATATTACAGATACTTTTATCTGCCAGCTAATAAACATTCTGTCTCAAGAATATCATTAGATCCAGAACACTTAATGGGTAAGATAAGGGGAGGGGGAGTTTTGTTCGTAACGGGGCAATGGGATTTTTTTTCTGTGGAAAAGAATTAAAATGGGTGTTGTGGAAACCACAGGACAATTGGGACAGAGCACCTCACAAACTCCTTAAAATGTGCCGCTGCTATTTTTATCTGTCTGCTGTCTAACAACACAGTAAGCACTACTTGACATTCACCGATCGTACCAAGTAATATCTTTATCTGAATAAGAATGCAAATTGCAGGAGCGCTTTTTTTTTTTTTTTTTTTACTATTCCAACGCCTATTCTGTGGCGGCTGAATAGAGTGACCACATGTTCAAGGCTGCAAACAAGTTCGCTGACCTCCCTAATCATCTCTGCCATTGCGAGTGAATGACACACACGGTCAATTCTGCCTCGCCTCCCCACTTTCATTCATAAAAAAAAAATGACATTGTTCTTGCAGCAGTCCTGAGAAAAAGGAGACGAGAGAAATGCAGCCCAAATGAGGCCCCCAGTATTTTTCTATTCAGCAGCAACCTTACCATCTGCCTTCTTCCTGCTAACAGCAGAACACCTCCCTGTAGAGATGTCAGAATTTGCACCACCTCCACTAATAGCTAGTATTCATATTAGCAAACATACACATACCTCCAGAATGCCTCCTTTCAATGTGTGTTTTATGTAGCTGAGCAGAAGCACAAGGCAGTAGCTGTTACAACTTTCACAGCCCCGTGTGGAGAATTAGATCACTGGGGAAAAATGCTTCCAAGCCCCTTTATGGAAAATAAGGTCTTGAGCTGTGTTAAAGGCAAAAAGCGGCTGAACAACAAGCCTCAGTAATGAATCAGTACCCCCCCCCCACGGCCCATTTGACCAGGAGAAAGTGTTTGCTTGTGACTGTGCAATTTACAGATTCAAAAGTAAACACCTGTGTTTTGCTTGGCTCTGAATTTCTGTCTTCTATATACAAGTGATTCAACAGAACCTTTTCTTACGGACTATTTTATATTGATAGTTTGTTCAAAAACAGGGAATGATCAATCAAACATCACTATATCTATCATCTATCTATCTATCTATCTATCTATCTATCTATCATCTATCTATCTATCTATCTATCATCTATCTATCTATCTATCTATCTATCTATCATCTATCTATCTATCTACCTACCTATCTATCTATGCTAACCATCCTTCCTTGCCCAAACAGACACACTACAAAGCTTAGTGCAATTTTGCTTGTGCTGCTAAGCATCGGGAACCATTGGGACCAACGTGCATTTTACTTAACAATCTGAAACCACTTGTTGCCGTTTATTCCACTGGGATTATACCACCTTCTGCGCTCAGCAAACTGCACTCTTAGATCCCTAGTCCGAGATACAGTTCTTGGAAATAAAAGACAGTCACACTCAGGTAGGGCCATTCTTGGTAGCGTATATCTGACAACAAGCCCAAGCCGATCCTGCTATTTTTGTACAATAACATGTTCGTTGCATTTATATTTTTAAGTGCATGCTTTTAGAATGAAAATCTCTCTCTCTCTCTCACACACACACACAGTGTAATGTATGAAAAGGCCCTTAAGACTGCCTAAAGACTAAGACTGCCATCGGAGTCTATACAGCTGGGCAGTTCTACCACTATTGCCAGAAAGCAATTTTGTAGACCCAATCTAGGGATTTCATCATTCTAAGACATCTCTGTCGGGCCCTTCCATCTTAACATTCTAAAAATATGTACACCATTCAAGTACTGTACTTATTCCTTCAGAATGGTAGTGTAGCTACATCATCAGCAGTCATAATAGCAGTACAGCACAATACTGTACAGTGAAGGAGCTCAGTCCTAAACTTGCTTGTTCAGAGGTCCCACGTTTTGAACCTTACAAAACGTGGTTACATACTCCAAAGGAATTGGTTTAAAAGCTCAGAACAAGGGCAGTCCACTAGGAAAGAAGGAGCAAACACTGGATCAACAAACTGACTGTATACCTAGTGAGTTTCTGGACTGTTCTACAAGGCATGCAGCTTGTTCCATATACAGTACAAAACTTATCCACTTGGGTCAAATTGAAGAGGCGCTGCTCCATTATTCAACCAATTTAGTTGTGGGGAAATGAGCCAGGCAATCTTCATGGAGAACCCAGCATCTTAGTCAAACTTTTTTGAAAATAAAACCATGACCCTGGGTCAAGGCTCCCCCCCCCCCAGCCGGAACTCAATTTCGGCACCTCTCAGGTGGGCACCATTGGCATTCTAAGAGAAAGAGGGAGATGTTCATGGTGAGTTCCGGCACCTCTCTTCTTTGAAAAATAGCACTGCCCTGGGTGATCTATAGCTGTACCAGGAAAACAGAAGGGAAATAATGTCCCGGTGTGAATAGCTGCCATGAAGCACATTTATTCCACCCTCATTTGTTTGCTAAGCATGTTTCATCTCTTTCCCAAACAATGGAAAGCTGACACAGATAGAACTTTTTGTGCATGGTGTATACAGATGTATACCCTGACTTTTATTGTCTGCCAACAAAGGGGGGAACAATTAACTCTCCAAATGTTTAGTTTAAGCGATATTGTACAATGAGTTTCCCGCTTAAAATAAACGGAGTCAGTTAGATATTTAAAATTGAGTCATTTGGATATTTAAAATGTTCAGCACAAATGTTCATGTCTCTCTTGTTTCAATTTCTAGTTTCCCAAAGACCCCCAAACAACCCTGTTTCTCCATTCCCTTAAACGCAGAATTTGGCTGGGAGATATAACACCACAAGGCACAGAACATTTCATTGCACGTGAGACTGGGAAAAAGGATTCGAAAGAAGGACTTGTTTCTTTCCAGTCCAGATTTTCAAATTTCAAAAGCACAAAGATATTTTGTGTGGGCCGAACACCCACTATTTCCAGCATGGAAATGAAGTTACGCTTTTCTGTGAAGCCACAGGCATCTAAGTGCGTACACCCTAGCATTTGTCATTCGGTTAATGCTACAATAACCATTTGAGGTGCTTCTGTTTATTATTGGAGACTTTGCCCTTGACCTGTAACAGTTTGGTGTTGGAATACTTCTGGTGGATCCAGCAGCAGTTTGCAAGTATGCAGGGAAAGTATTGCAAATGTGCAGAGCAGACCGTTCTGGAGGCAACAGAAGCAATTCTATCCTTGCGTACTTCTCAAGAGAGCAAACTTAAGAGGCGTAGCTGTGTTTCTCTTTTGCAACAAAAACTACAAAGTCCTATGGCACTGTAAAACTGCGCACAGGGGGATTGCATTGGAAAGGAAAAGTTGCCAAACTGAAGCCAAGTCTTCTGGGATCAGACACTGGGACCCTTTCAGGCAGGTAGTCATCCAAAGCGTGTTCTCATTTTAAAAAGGCTTATAACCTTTTTAGCCTATATACCATGGAATACAAAAAACCAACCAATAAATAAACCCCAACCTTGTCAACTATATTCATGCCTTCCCGTGGTTCCAAAAAAGATGATTAAGCTGTTTATGCATGTAATGACAGCAGCTAGGATTCCTTATGCGCAAAAAGGAGAGGAAGGAGGAATTCCCACCGCAGAGGAATGGATAAGTAAAATGATTATTGTTTTGTTGAAGAATGGAAGCCTTTTCCCGGACTATTATAGCATGATGGATTCGTGATCAGGATTTGAACTATGAGCAACAGAGGGAATGAGAGATCATTGTAATTAGCGTTATGTTATAAGAGAGGGGAGATAGGGGTGCAGAAATAAGAAACTACAGAAAACGGGATGGGAAGTGAATGAAAGAAAAGAAAAAAATTCTTACGTTTTGGAATGCATCCGTGAAATGCTTAAAAATGCAATAAAGCATAACTGGGGAAAGAAGCCCTCCTGCTTCCTTACCTAATGGTGCTCTTGTCGGCGTTTCTTCGGGGTCTGGAATAGGAATCCTGGCTGCCGGGAGGCTGTGCACAGTGGCGACCAGGAAAAAGCAAGACCAGGCTCCCCACGCAGCAATCATTCCTCTCCTCTCGCTTCGGGGCAGCCCGCCGTGGGTCGTGGTGGCAGCGCTTCCTCGGCCCGCCTCAGCCATGCTCCAGATGCATGCTGCTCCGTGGGCTGGCCGGGGGTCTCCTGCTCTGGGTCCCCGAAGTGGCGGCCCCGTGCCCTGCAAGGAGTCGGGAGGAGAGGGACACTCGTGGAGGCTCCTCAGCGGAGAGGGCAGCTCCTCTTCCCCTCGGGAAAAGCCAGCCCTGCCCCAGCACCGCCCGCCACCTCGGAAGGCGCGTCGAGCGCGCCTCGGAAGAACCATTTTTGCGCACCGTTTCCCCCTTCCCGGCCGGGTTTGCTCCGATAGCAGCCCGGAGCAGCCGCTCCGCCTCCCCTGGGGCTCCCCTTCCCGCAACCCGACGCCGCTTCTAGGGTCCCGCGAGGGGCGCCGCCCTCCGGTTAAGCTGGCGGTACCCGCCGTGGATGGCGCGGAGCAGCCGGCTGCCCTGCCCGCTGCGCTTACCTGCTCCTTGGCGCCGCTGGAGCGCTTCTGGGCAGAGGCGCGGGCGGCTCTGCTCCGCTCCGCTCGCTCCCTCGCTCGCTCGCCAGCCTTGCCAGACAGCCAGTCCGCCTGCCTGCCCGCCCCGCCTCACTGAGAGGGCTGGGCTGGGCGGCTGGGCTGGCTGGCCGGCGGCCCCCAGTGGCAGAGAGGGGGCGGCGCGTCTTTGCGCCCAGGGCGCACGAAGCCCTCGAGGGGCGGCCCTTCTGCTGGACGGCGAGGAGGAGCCCGCGGCAGCCTACCTGAAGAGCAGGGCGGGAAAGGCAGCCAGCGGGAAGCCGCCCCCCCCTCGGGCTTTCCCTTCTTTGGTGGCCGTGGGTGTGGGCGCCCGTTTGCCTCAAGAGACGGCGTGTGCGGGTTTTTGGCGCTGCTGGGCGACGAACCAGGGCAGCTGCCCCCTGAGCTTTCCCACTGAGACTAAACGCTTTCCCTTCCGTAGTGGCCACAGGTAAAAAAGTTAAAGGGACCCCTGACCATTAGGTCCAGTCGTGGACGACTCTGGGGTTGCGGTGCTCATCTCAATTTACTGGCCGAGGGAGCCGGCGTACATCTTCCGGGTCATGTGGCCATCATGACTAAGCCGCTTCTGGCCAAACAGAGCAGCGCATGGATTCGCCGTTTACCTTCCCGCTGGATCGGTACCTATTTATCTACTTGCACTTTGACATGCTTTGGAACTGCTTTTGGGATGGAGACGGTAGACAGCTGGATCGAGGCGGGTCAGGACTGCTGATCCTTTTAGATTTGTCAGCAGCCTTTGACATGGTCGACCATGATCTTCTGGACCACCGCCTCGCAGACGTGGGGATACAGGGCATAGTCCGTAACTAGCTGTGCTCTTTTATCTCTGGTCGGGGACAGAGGGTGGCACTAGGGAGGGAAATGTCGTCGCGCCACTCCTTGGTGTGTGGAGTGCCGCAGGGCGCAATTCTCTCCCCGATGCTTTTTAACATCTTTATGTGCCCCCCCCTTGCCCAGATTATCCTGAGCTTTGGGCTGGGCTGTCACCAATATGCTGATGACACTCAGCTCTATCTGCTGATGGATGGCCACACCGACTCGGCCCCTTACACACTGACCAGATGCTTGGAAGCTGTGGCTGGATGGTTTCGTGGGAGCCGATTGAAACTAAATCCTTCGAAGACAGAGGTCCTATGGCTAGGTCGGGATGGCATGGGGATGAGGGACCAACTCCCTTCTCTTGCAGGGGCCCAATTAGTGCCATTGCCTTCCGTTAAGAGTTTGGGTGTAATCCTTGACGCCTCCCTTTCCATGGAGGCGCAAGTTACAGCAACAGCCAAGGCGACATTTTCCCACCTTCGCCGCATCAAGCAGTTGGTCCCTTACCTTTCCCGCCCCGACCTGGCCACAGTGATCCATGCGATGGTCATCTCCAGGCTTGACTACTGTAATTCGTGAAGGGCTTTAAAAGTCAAAAGCAGCACCTTAAATCTGACCCTGTACTCCACCGGGAGCCAGTGCAGCTGGAAAAGCACTGGGTGAATATGCTCCCATGGCAGAGACCCTGTGAGGAGCCTCGCTGCAGCGTTCTGCACCCGCTGGAGTTTCTGGGACAGCTTCAAGGGCAGCCCCGCGTAGAGTGAATTAATAATAATAATAATAATAAATTTTATTTATACCCCGCCCTCCCCAGCCGAAGCTGGGCTCAGGGCGGCTAACAACAATCAAAATAATCCAACATTCTAAAAACCTTTCATTATAAAAATTAATTAAAATCAAATTAATGGCAACCATTAAGCAAAATTCTGTGCAGATTGCCAGAGGAGGGGGTCAGGCTGCGCCCTGACCAAAGGCCTGGTGGAACAACTCTGTCTTACAGGACCTGCGGAAAGATGTCAGGTCCCGCAGGGCCCTAGTCTCTTGTGACAGAGCATTCCACCAGATTGGAGCCTCGGCCAAGAAAGCCCTGCCTCTGGTTGAGGCCAGCCTAACCTCTCTGTGGCCTGGGATCTTCAGGATGTTTTTATTTGCAGACCGTAAGTTCTTCTGTGGGACATACCAGGAGAGGCGGTCCCGTAGGTACGAGGGTCCTAGGCCGTATAGGGCTTTAAAGGTTAAAACCAGCACCTTAAACCTGATCCTGTACTCCACCAGGAGCCAGTGCAGCTGGTATAGTACTGGATGAATGTGATCTCGCAGCGAAGACCCCATAAGGAGTTTCGCCGCGGCATTCTGCACCTGCTGGAGTTTCTGGGTCAGTCTCAAGGGCAGCCCCATGTAGAGCGAGTTACAACAATCCAGTCTGGAGGTGACCGTCGCATGGATCACAGTGGCTAGGCCAGGGCGAGAGAGATAAGGAGCCAACTACTTAGCTTGGCGGAGATGAAGAAATGTCGCCTTTGTTATAGCTGCAATCTGCGCCTCCATAGAGAGGGAGGTATCGAAGATTACACCCAAACTCTGTAGTCAAGCCTGGAGGTGACCGTCGCATGGATCACTGTGGCCAGGTTGTAAGCATATCTGGCGCTGTGGTGCAAAGATCCCTCCGGCGCCCCCCCTCCCAGAGTTGTCGCCCTTTTTTTAGGGCTGGAGGAGGCGGGCAGCAGTTGGAGGACAGCTCCTCCGCCGGGAAAGAAGCGGAGGCTGGATGTGGCGCCTCCCGGCTCAGCTGGGTGGTTCGTGCCGCGGTGGCCACGGCAGGCAGCGAGAGGGCATGCGCCGAGAGAGCAGAATTCGGCGCCTGCGGACTAAAAGGGGGGAATTCAGCAGGAGCGGTGCACGCACCTTTGCTCACTCAGCACACTCGTTTGGTGTTTCCCGGACTCTTGCCTGGCGCCCTCCAGAACTTGGCGCCCTGGCACCATGCGCCACTAGCCTCTATGGGTAAGACGGGCCTGGCTAGGACCTTGCCTGGCTAATTCAGCAATGGAATCCGCCGTTAGATTTTTAACCCTTGCTGGACCCCCAGAATTAGAATGGATTCGGGCATGATACAGACTGACACGCGCACCACAACTCACAACTTTTTAAATTTAGAATAAGGAAAACATCAGAACCACACTTTTCAGGCTTCAGCAGGAGGTCTGCTAAAAATAAATGTCTGCTCTTTGGAAACAGGGGTGTGTTGTCAGAGAATCCCACTTCAGTGACAAGCTAGCTATGCAAAGGCCAATTTCTCTCAGGAATGATTATATAACTGGGGCAACCTTTATTTTATTTGGGAATGAAATTAATTAGGGGGAAAAAAATGAGTCGTAGATGACTCAGATTATCCCACAGGGGCAAAAAGCCTCAAAAAGTGAATGATTCAGAACGGCACCTTGAATGCAGAATTGCACAAGTTAACAGTGTTTTTGTGCAGAGACTCGAGCCCGTCTGTAATGCTGTGAATTGCTGAACGTGCTGCATGAAATCAGTGGGTTATACCTCTTTGTAGAAACTTTGCTACTGAATGATGACAACTTTTTCAGCAAATGCTTTCTTTCAACTTCGTTATATGTGATCTGAAATGTTACAAAGAAGCTGAGATGGAGAAGCTGTTATTTGTGGCATGCTTACCTTTATGCTGGGACGCGGGTGGCGCTGTGGGTTAAACCACAGAGCCTAGGACTTGCTGATCAGAAGGTCGGTGGTTCGAATCCCCGTGGCGGGGTGAGCTCCCGTTGCTCGGTCCCTGCTCCTGCCAACCTAGCAGTTCGAAAGCACATCAAAGTGCAAATAAATAAATAGGGATCGCTCCGGCGGGAAGGTAAATGACGTTTCCGTGTCTGCTCTCGTTCGCCAGAAGCGGCTTAGTCATGCTGGCCACATGACCCGGAAGCTGTCTGCGGACAAACGCTGGCTCCCTCGGTCAATAAGCGAGATGAGCGGCGCAACCCCAGAGTCGGTCACGACTGGACCTAATGGTCAGGGATCCCTTTATCTTTACCTTACCTTTATGCTATATTAGACTTACGCATCATTTAAAAAGCAAATACAATTATTATTCACAACAAAATTATATTCTGCCCAGGGCTGGATTAAGGTATGGTGAGGCCCTAAACTACTGAAGGTAATGGGGCCCTTTATATGTCCAGCTGTCCTTTGTCAACAAAAAATTGTTGCTGTTTTTTGTGTTGAATATATGCTATACGGTACCCTATATATAGAAATGAGCAAACCAGTGATATTTTAGGGAGCAGGCTAGCAGGCGGGGCCCATTACTTACATCATAGGAGCCTACACAACACAAAACACTGTTGCTGTATGTAGGTTTTATTTTATTTGTTTTTTATCTTATATTTTGGAAACGTACACCCAGTTTTTTTCTTTCAATTTTTTTGGGGGGACCCAAGGGAGTGGGGCCCTAAGCTATAGATTGTTTAGCTTATACGTAAATCTGGCACTGATTCTGCCCCAATGATGAGTGACTCACAATTCAAGGACAGTGTAATTCTGTGTGTCTTCCCTCAAAAGTAAATTCCATTATTTAAGGTTCCATTGTCCAGACTAAATCAATGAAGGATGACAACTAGAAGAATGAGCCTCACTGCGATTGGGAAATTGTTCCAAATTCCTAGGTTACAGTGTCAACACCTCATGGGCAATGCATTCCTTTTGGCAGCCCAGCCCCACTGCCGCCCAGCTGATACCTCACACCTTTCTGATGGTGTTAAAGGTAAAGGTAAAGGGACCCCTGACCGTTAGGTCCAGTCGTGACTGATTCTGGGGCTGCGGCGCTCATCTTGCTTTATTGGCTGAGGGAGCTGGTGTACAGCTTCCGGGTCGTGTGGCCAACATGACTAAGCCGCTTCTGGCGAAGCAGAGCAGCGCACGGAAACACCGTTTACCTTCCCGCCGGAGTGGTACCTATTTATCTACTTGCACTTTGACGTGCTTTCGAACTGCTAGGTTGGCAGGAGCAGGGACCGAGCAACGGGAGCTCACCCCGTCGCGGGAATTCGAACCACCGACCTTCTGATCGGCAAGTCCTAGGCTCTGTGGTTTAACCCACAGCGCCACCCTTGTCCCTTCTCTGATGGTGCTACCTGTACTCAATTCTTTCCCCAAATCATCACTGTCAACTTCCTTGTGGCAAGTGTGCAAGTTGTCTCTCCCCCTTCCCCAGACTTAGAAAAA